GTTTGTGTGTGTGTGTATATGTGTGCGTGCTTGTGCGTTTATGTAAAATGACTAAAGATGGTCGGACAGACAGAGAGACAAACAAATAAAAATAGTAACGTTGCCAAAGTAAAAAGTATATAAGTAAAAAACGTATAAAGATATTCAGACATATCCAACCTATCGGACAAGACAATCACTAAAAAGACAAACAAGTAATCAGAAGAAATTCAACAAAAAAATATAAACATAGGAGAGAAAATAGATAATATTTCACGGGTCTCATGCATACATTTCGCCCAATCGTTTTCTTTGAGTCTCCCCTTCGAATCGTCCCGTCGGTATATCTCCGTTTTCTTCTCTCATTCCCTTCAGTTTGAGAGATTTATACACTCCATTTTCTTTTATTTCTCCTCGTTTTATCTGGCAATTCCGTTTCCTTTTGTGGCAATTTCTTTTCTGTCTTTGTATGTCTGGGGAAAAACCATTTCCGCGCTGTCTTTATTTCCGTTTCTATCGCTGTTGTTGTCATTTCTTTTCTTTTTTTCTTTTTCTTTTTTTTCGTATTTATTGTTATTCGGTGTATTTTTTATATTGAGTACTTATAGTATCTTTTTCGTTTTTATTTTTATGCCATATGCTCTCCTTTCCTCCTTTTTCTTATCGTCACTATTGCTCACTGTAACTCACTAACTCTGATCACTGTAACTTCATTGTTGTTATTACCGTTATCATTATTATTGTTGCTGTTATTTTGCTTTCAGAGGTTGCTGTCATATTATGATCATGAATATTATTGTTATTGAATAATATTGTTATGATTATTATCGAATAATATTGTTATGCTTATTATCAACATTAACATTAAAGTTACTGTTGCTGATAATATTACTATTACTATTACTAACTACACTTAACTCTATTCGTATTACAATTATCATTATCATCCTCATTACAAATTTATCTTCCTCCATTACTCATTCTTCTCACTCATTCATCTATCCTTATTTACTCATTTTTACTCTTCCTCACAAACTTTTACTCCTATTCACTGACTCACTCACTCAGTCACATCAACTCCATCCTTATTGAATAACTAATCTATTTTTCGTCCTTATTTTCTTCCTTCGTCCCCCTTACCCCTCCCTTTCTTCCTTCTGTTTCTTCTCCCTTTCCCCATTCTCCTTCCCACGTTCCTCTCCCTCTTCCTCCCTTTCCTCTCTCCTGTTCTCTTTCTCTTATTCCCCCTCCCTCTCTCCCTCTTTTTCCCCTCCTTTTCTCCCTTCCCCTCTTTTCCCCCTTCTCACTTCCCCCTCCTCCCCCCCTTCTCCCTTCCCCTCCTCCCCCCTTCCCCTTCTCCCTTCCCCCTCCTCCCCCCTTCTCCCTTCCCCCTTCCCCCTCCTCCCCCCTTCTCCCTTCCCCTTCCTCCCCCTCCTCCCCCCTTTCCCCCTTCTCCCTTCTTCCTCTTTTCCCCCCTTCTCCCTTCCCCCTCCACCCCCTTCCCCCTCCTCCCCCCTCCTCCCTTCCCCCTCTTTTCCCCCCTTCTCCCTTCCCCCTCCTCCCCACCTTCCCCCTCCTCCCCACCTTCCCCTTCCTCCCTTTTCTCCCTTCCCCCTCCTCCCTCCTCCCCCTTCCCCCTCCTCCCCCCTTCTCCCTTCCCCCTTTCCCCCATTCTCCCTTCCTCACCCCCTTCCCCCCATTCTTCCTTCCTCACCCCCTTCCCCCCATTCTTCCTTCCTCACCCCCTTCCCCCTCCTTCCCCCTCCTTCAGGAAGTGTCAAGGACGGACACGGGGGTGACCCTCAGCATGACGAGCATGACCTCGGCGGCGTCGGGCGAGTACAAGTGTGAGGTCATCGCCGAGCACCCTTCGTTTCGCACAGAGACTCGGAGCGCCCTCATGACAGTTCTTGGTGAGTCACTGGTTGCTTGTGATGAGTAGTTGGTTGGGTGTGAGTCACTGGATCTGGGTAGAAATTGATGGTTCAGGATGAGTCACTGGATTTGGGTAGAAGTCGCTGGTTGAGTCTGAGTCGTTGAAGGTAAAGTGCGTTGGTGGGTGAAAGTGAGTGACTCGTCGTTGATTGTGGATGAGTCGTTGATTGCGGGTGAGTCGTTAGGTAAGGGTGAGCAAAAATTCTAAGGATGCGTCATTGTTTTAAGGATGAGTCGCTGGTTGAAGGTGAGTCACAAGTTGAGTGCCCGTGAGTTGCTGGCAAAAGAGTCATGTGTTAATGACTCATAAATTACGAGGTAAGAATAAGTCATAAATCGCACAGTTTGAATAGCAGTTTATGAATAATTTACCAACGACTTACAAATCAGAAGCAGGTATTGATCGGCATTTATAATAGTTCATAAATCAGTCTCAAGCCTTTTAAATTACATCCAGGGAATCATAAACAGTAATTTTCCGCAAACAAACAAAGAAATAGTTTTCTCCACAAAGAGTATTCGATCACAGAAAACGGGAATTCGATCTCATACTTGGGGAATCGAAGCCGTTCTGGTCCGTTTCGAG